TCCAGGAGTGGTCACAGGCCACGGGTCACGGTGAGGCGGCACAAGAGAGGTGCGCGCACCCACCCCGAGCGCTGTAAGCAACCCCAGCTCCAGGACAGCACGAGCCTGCTCCACTCACGCCTCCGCCTCCGGCACCGGGGGCAGCGCCTGGCACACAGTAGGCGCGCAATATAGATTCTGTTCGAACCAACAGTTCCACTCTGTCCCTCCTACTGGACCGAAAGGCTCCTCCTTGAGCCCACAGGCAGGGGCCCAGCCCTTAGAAGGCTCTGTATTCCCACCACTTGGTAAAAGAGCTGAGACACATGGACCCAAAATATATATCTGGAGAAAGGCAAGACTGGCAAAAGTACCACCGAATCTCCAGATTAAGACAGGGGTCAAAGATACCTCATGAGCCAAAAATAACCATCCAAGAATATTTTACCAAATAGGGTGCAGCTGAGTACATCATCTTGAAGCAGACGGTGGCCTTCAATCCCTTCACCACAAGTTAATAAAACATGACTTCAACGGAGCACCCCTGCCCCAGAGCCTTCCAAGATAACATCAGGCAGGAGGTAATGCGCCAAGCCCAAAGCTCCTCAAACACAGAGGCCCCGCTGCGTTCCAGAAACAGGCGACGTTCAGTGTCATTGTTCCTGAGGGAACATCCTGCCCATGAAATGATCATAACATCACTCCAGTGTCTTGAACTAAGTGTGTATTACAAGATCTGAGACGTGACAACTATTTTCTTTTGATGAGAAACCACTACAGATTTACCTTTATTTTTTCTACGAAACTTTTTATTTGGAGATCACTTTAGAGCCACATGCAGTTGTAAGAAAAAGAAACAGACCCTGTGTACCCTTTACCCGGCTTCCCCTGTGGAAACATCTTGCAAACGTGCAGCACAACATCCCATTACCGACACTGGGTAAGTCACGGTACAAAGCCTTCTTAGTGCCACCAGGATCCCGCGTGTCACCCTTCGATCCCGCCGTACACCCGCCTTCGCTCCTGGCCACCACTAGCCTAGTCTCCATCTCCATAATTCTGCCATTTCACGAATGTCATATAAATAGGAAAAGATGACACGTAGCCTTTGGAAGCAGACTTTTTTTATTCAGCACAACTCCCTGGGGACTCAACCAAATTGACTCCTTCTTATTACTGTGAGGTATTACACAATATGGACACACCACAGCTTCTTTATCCTTTCAGCCGTTGAAGATATGCACATTTTGGCTATCATGGAGAGAGCCACGATAGATATTCATGTATGGGTTTTTGCGCAAAGATATGTTTCCATCTCTCTGAAGTAAACGTCCAAGAGTACAAACTGCCAAATGACAGCTGCATGCTCCGCTTGGTGAGAAACTACCATACCCAAATTATATAAAGAGTTTATACAACTCAATGCCCAAACAAAACCCAATTAAAAATGGTCAGAAGACATGAAGAGACGTTTTTCCGAAGGAGACATCCAGATGGCCAACAGACACATAAAAAGATGCTCAACGTCACTCATCATCGGGGAAATGCAAATCAAAACCACAGGAGATGCCACTCTACGCCTGTCAGAATGGCTAGTATCGAAAAGGCAAGAAATAACAAGTGTAGGTGAGGAAGTGGAGAAAAGAGAAACCTTGTACACTGTTGGCAGGAACGCAGACTGGTGCAGCCACTGTGGAAAAAAAAAAAGTAAAGACGTTCCTCACAAAATTAGAACTGGAAATACTGTATAACCCAATAATTCCACTACTGGGTATTTAGCCAAAGAAAACAAAAATGTTAATTCAAAAAAGATAGAAGTAGCCCTATGTTGGGGCGCCTGGGTGGCTCAGACGGTTGAGCATCTGACTTCGGCTCAGGTCATGATCTCACAGTCTGTGGGTTCGAGCCCCACATCAGGCTCTGTGCTGACAGCTCGGAGCCTGGAGCCTGCTTCGGATTCTGTGTCTCCCTCTCTCTCTGCCCCACCCCTGCTCACACTCTGTCTCTCTCTCTCAAAAAATAAAATAAAGACATTAAAAAAAAAAAAAAGAAATGGCCAAATTGTTTAAAAAAAAAAAAGAAGTAGCCCTATGTTCACTGTGCAGCATTATTTACAACGGCCAAGAAATGGAAGCCTAACTGTCCATTGATAATTGTGCGCTGGTCACGGAAATAGACAAAGATGCGGTGTACATACACAATGGAATATACCCAGCCAGAAAATAAATGAAATCTTGCCATTTGCTAACATGAATCAACATAGAGGGCGTTATGCTAAACAAAAGCAGTCAACGACAGATACCATATTCCACTTATCTGTGGAATCTAAAAAGCAAAAGGAACAAACAAAAACAGCAGAAATAGCCCCATAAATACAGAGAACAAACTGGGGGTTGCCAGAGCAGAGGACAAACCGATACAGAAGTGGGGCAGGTAGATACCTCCATTAAGTCCATAAGAATAAGTCGAGGGGTGGAAGGTACGGCATAGGGAACAGTCAACAGCACTGAACGGTGACAGCCGGTAGCCACACTTATGGAGAGCACAGCATAACACACAGAGATGTCCTGTCCCTACGCTGCACACCTGAAACTCACGTAACATTGTGTGTCAACTACGCTTTGGTTAAAAAAAAGGAAAGAAAGAAAGAAAAGAAGCTGCTAAACGTTCTTCCTGAGTGGCTGTGCCCTTTTACATCCCAGCGACAATGCAGGAGCGATCCTGGTTCTCGGTATCCTTGCCAGGATTGGCTGATGTCACTATTTTTTATTATAGCCATTCTGATACGTGGGCTATGATTCACTCTTAATGAACACAAAGGCCCGGGGAGGGAGGGGGACAGGGAAAGACCTCACAACCACCCAGGTATCTTTAAGCATTTTGCTGGTCCCTTACGATTATCTTAAAATGCACAATAAATCCACTCTGCTCTAAATGAAGTACTGGGTAGTAGTGCAGAGTGCTTCCTTAGAGTCATGGAGAAAGGCTACTCAACAGGCAATTCTGGAAGCATTAATGTTCTAAGAGCAGAGCAAGAATGGGGCACTTCCGGTCGAACTCATATTGACAGTACTAGCGAATATAATCAAAAAAGAGAAACAATTATGACAATTATGAAGGAAGAAATGAAATTAATATTTATAGATACCGTCTACGCACAAAAAATTGAACCCTAAACTCCCGAAACGTATGACACTTCACTAGGTTGTTGATACACAGTCAACATAAAAATTCAGTGGTTTTCCTAGACATCAGCAACAACCAATTAAAAATGTAATTTTTGAATAACCCCATATATTCTAGTAACAGAAGTATCTTGGAATAAACCTTTTGAAAATGCATAGAAATCTGTGGAGAAAATTATAACACTTGAACAACAGACATAAAAGAAGACATATAAAAATGAGGAGAAATACCACACTTCTGGTTAAAAGGACATTTTTTAAATGTCTATTCACTCCAGATTCATCTATAAACTTCATGTGAATTTAACCCTAATTTTAACAGGATGCGGTTTTGTTTCATCTCATTTTAGAAAAGGTTCTTTTGAGGGGCGCCTGGGTGGCTCAGTTGGTTAAGCATCCAACTTCGGCTCAGGTCAGATCTCACGGCTCAGGAGTTCGGCCCTGCATCGGGCTCTGTGCTGACAGCCCGGGGCCTGTTTCGGGTTCTGTGCCTCCCTCTGTCTCTGCTCCTCCCCCACTCATGCTCTGTCTCTCTCTGCCTCAAAAAATAAACAAACTATAAAAAAAGATATAAAAAAAAAAAAGGTTCTTTGAGGGGCGCCTGGGCAGCTCGGTTGGTTAAGGGTCCAACTTTGGCTCAGGTCATGATCTCACGGTTCATGAGTTCCAGCCCCAAGTCAGGCTCTGAACTGTTAGACACAGGAGCCTGTTTCGGATCCGTGTCTTCCTCTCTCTCCCCGCCTCCCCTGCTCGGTTTCTATCTTTCTCAAAATAAATAAACATTAAAAAAAAAAAAAAAAAGATTTGGGGTGCCTGGGTGGCTTACTCGGTTAAGTGTCCAACTTTGGCTCAGGTCATGATCTCACGGTTCGTGGGTTCGAGCCCCATGTCGGGCTCTGTGCTGACAGCTCAGAGCCTGGAGCCTGTTTCAGTCTGTGTCTCCCTCTCTCTCTGACCCTCCCCTGTTCACGATGTCTCTCTCTCTCTCCTAGAAATAAATAAAACATTAAAAAAAATTTTTTAAAAAAAAGACTTGGGAAAAAAAAAGATGAGGTCATTTGAATACACATGAAGGAGTAAAGGACCTTTCTGCAGAATGGGTGATGCAGTGTCCCCCCCCTCCCGCCGGCGTGGGGGCCACACCTCTGCCAACTGGAAAGTAGTGTGAAAGCTCAAGCCACTCCTGGGCCAGCCCTCCAGCACCGCCCAGCCCCTCCCTGAGCAGCACCTCTGTCCGTCCTGGTCACCACCCAAACTCGGCCTATAGGCCCTCCGCCCTCGTTCACAGGGGTGTCCCCACGGAGCCCACACGATCCAGGCCCCCTTCCCCCTCACACCTATGCAAATTCTTCACGTAGACGCCGTCTCTCCGAACCTTCTGGAACTGGCCACTCTGCAAGGGCACATGCCTATCGTGCCCACCTCTGCACTTCTTGTCTGTGTTAATCACTGCTCTTCATTCTTGACCTCAGATCACTCCTGTCTCCCTAAACACCTCTTACTCTGACAGGCACACCAGCAACTGGACGACTCTAATACTCGTCTTCGAATAAAGCAGCCTCTCTGGAACTCACAGCCCCCCCCCCATCTGCCACTCGAGGGCTCTCCCCGCCTTCGCTACAAAAGTCAGCCCAGAGTTTTGTGGACTTGTTTCCAACACGTGTCCCGTAAGTCCCGCTGTCCGGGGGTGTTCTGCACACACTCGGGCCCGCGCTTACACAGAACCGCTCTCCGCACGGTCCCCACGCCCCCGGGCCGCTGAGCTCCGCGCCGCTCGGCTTCTCCCACCTCCCTGCCGTCCTCTCCCGCCCCGGCTGTTGCCCGAACCTCCCCGACCTTGAGACGTCGCCACACCTAGGACTCCACGCAAGGGCCTCTCCCTTCTGGGCCGCGTGTCGTCACCAGGGTCACAGGTATCTGCAGGGCACACTGCAGTGCACAAGTTGGTCAGAAATTATTGGGGCCTCTGAGGCAGCAACAGCGGGGCATTAAAGCCAACGCAGGACTCGTGCAAGAGTAGGGGGTGGAGTTGCATGGGGGTTGGGGGGAGGGGTGGCATGGCGGGGGGGAGGGGTGGCAGGGTGGGGGCTGGGGGAGGGGGGTGGCATGGCGGGGGCTGGGGGAGGGGGGTGGCATGGCGGGGGGTAGAGGAGGGGGCATGGCGGGGACGGGGGGAGGGGGGTGGCATGGCGGGGGTAGGGGTAGGGGGTGGCATGGCGGGGGGTAGGGGGTGGCATGGCGGGGACGGGGGAGGGGGTGGCATGGCGTGGGGGGGACGCTCTGTGCAGCTGCGCCGTCACACGGGGGCACGTTCTTCCACCTTCCTTCTCCTCCCGGCCGCCTTGGATCCTCCCCTTACTGAACCCTCAGGGCCAGATCACCAGCAAATGCTAAGGGCTCTTCCCTCCCACACGGGCGGGCGCCCCGCCCCCGCCCCCGCCCCCGCCCCCGCCCCGTCACAAGTGCCATCTGGCGCCGGGATTACCGCGGCCCCCGCCCAGGGCGCTGCCTGCAGCCGCGCTGCCTGGTCCCCGCCTTCAGCCGGCGACCCTGTCTCACTCGGGGCTTCTCCTCCAAGGAACCTGAAGGTGCCCGGCCGGACGCCACTCGGGAACACCGGTCGCCTCGACAAATGGGAAGGTCATTTATTTTCATACGCCTATTTTCTCAAAACAATCCACAAAAACTGTACCGAAATTACAAATGCCCCCAGCCCCAAGTTGCAAGCCCTTTCCCTGCCTCCCTACAAACTCGCAGGGGGCCCCGAAATGGTAAGAAGTTTCTCATTGGGGGGGAGCTGGGGAACCCGGGGGGGGGGGCTGGGGAACCCATCAGGCATCATAATCACGTAACATCCAGCTTCACACGACTCTGGTTTCTAAATATATTCTGTACGAAACAAAATGCGAGCGTCTCGACGGGAGGGGCCGGGGGTGTCGGGTTTGAAGCCCCGGGGTGTGGGGTTCGCCCGGGCGCACGGCGGGCGCGCGGGAACCGTGCGGGTGGTCGAGGGCTAGCGCGTCGCCGCCGGGTGCGCGCGCGAGTCCCCAGGGCCCGGGGAGCGACACACGCTGGTGGGGCCCTGCGGCTCCCCAGGGCCGGACAGCAAACCCCGCGCGGGGCGAGGCCGGCCGCGGCCGCCAGGGGGGTCCCTGCGCCCACCCAGCGGGGACCCGGGCACCCCGCGCGGAGGGGCGGCCGGGCATGCGCGCGGCGGCGCACGCGCGCACACGCACCCCGGCCCCGCGGGCGGAGAAGGGGCCCGGACGCCCCGGCCCCTGGCCCTGCGTGCGGCCCCCTCCGGGCTGCGCAGGTGCGGGGCGCCCCCCCCCCAGGTGCGGCAGCGCGGGGCGGCGAGGACGGGCCGGCCCCGCGGAGGGCGGAGGGCGGGGCGGTGGCTCCCCTCCGCGCGCCCGCACCCCCGCCCGCCGACCCCCCCCTCGCCGCGCGCCCCTCCCCGCTCACCAACGGACGAGCGGACCCGCGACCTGCGGGGCAGGGACATCTTCAGCGCTCTGTCCCGGCCGGCGGCGTTCGGCATCGCGCCCGCGGGGGGCTAGGCGGCCCGGGGCGAGCGGCCGAGGCTGCGCGCTGGGCATGGGCGCCGCGCCGGCGGCCCGAGGGCCATGGGTGGGCGCGCTCCCGGGCCGGACTGCGGGGCCGCCGCTGCCGCCGGAGGGGCCGAGGGCGAGCGCGAGGCTGCGCCGTCCGGGTGCCGCAGCCGCCGGCCAATGCGGCAGCGCCCGCGAACGCCACCGCTGCGGGCCTCGCTGGGCCGGCGGCGGGGGAGGGGTCCGGGCCTCGGCCGCTGCTGGGTAGAGTCTGGAACGTTCCGCGGCACGGGGGGCTCTTAGGCGGCGGGGAAGGGGCGGGGGGAGAATGGAGCGGTGCTCTAGGGGGCTCTCTAGGGGACGGGTGCCCTTCAGGGTACCGTTGTCTGTCTGTCTGTCTGCCACCTTTTTTACCTGCCCCTTATTATGGGGTGCACTTGTCCCCTGTGATTCTTCAGGGCTCCTGCCTTTCCTTTCTTCTCTCGGTTTCTGCTCTGTGTACATTTTGGTGGAGGGTCTGGAAAAAAGAAAACGTGGGTCTCCAGACTCCTAGCCCCCAGCCCGCCTAGAATGCTAATTAGTGGCGTGTTAAAACTGGAAGAAGCCCCCAGGGATGCTTAGGTCAGGCCACTCACGCGCGCACACCGACACACCTTCCATAGGAAACAAACAAAATGAGGGGGAGGGGAGGTGACTTGTCCAAGGTCACATTGATCCATTTCTTACTGTTTTGTAACTCAGTGTTTAGGGGCGCCTGGATGGCTCAGTTAAGTGTCTGACTTCGACTCAGGTCATGATCTCACTGCTCATGAGTTCAAGCCCCGCGTTGGGGTCTGTGCTGACAGCTCAGATCTGGCCTGGAGCCGGGTAAGATTCTGTGTCTCCCACTCTCTGCCCCTTCCCTGCTCTCTCGTTCTTGCGCTCTCTCTTCCCAAAATAAATAAACATTAGTAAACTGGTGCAGCCGCCCCGGAAAACAATGTGGAGGTTGCTCAAAAAATGAACACTAGAACTCCCCTATGATCCAGCAATAGCACTGCTAGGAATTTACCCAAGGGATCCAGGAGTGCTGATGCACAGGGGCACATGGACCCCAATGTTCATAGCAGCACTCTCAACAACAGCCAAAACATGGAGAGAGCCTAAGTGTCCATCAACTGACGAATGGATCAAGAAGATGTGGTTTATCTATACCATGGAATACTACATGGCAATGAGAAAGAATGAAATCTGGCCATGTGTAGCAACACGGATGGACCTTGAGGGTGTTATGCTGTGTGAAGTAAGTCAGGCAGAGAAGGAGACATACGATATGTTTGCACGTATATGTGGATGAGGAGGAACAAAACGAAGGACCATGGGGGAGAAGAAGGGGGGAAATGGGGGCGGGGAGGGAGGGAGGCAAACCATCAGAGACTCTTGAATGCTGAGAACAAACTGAGGACTGATGGGGGGGGGAAGGGGGGAGATGGGCATGGAGGAGGGCACTGGTGGGGATGAGCACGGGGTGTTATATGGAAACCAACTTGACAATAAACTTTTTTTAAAAATTTTTTAATAAAAACAACTCAAACTGCACTTGGTCCTTCTCAGCACAGGTCCATAAAGAGAAAAAAAAAAAAAAAAAAAGCTGAATCTGCTTAATAGCTGATGAAATTCTGACCTCAGAGTGAAAAGAGAAAAATGATTCAAAAAGACTCTGACCTTGGATTTATTGATGAGATCATTACACTAAATTTAACATAAATATCAGGGACTGACCAGGAGAAAAATGGAGTGCAGCAGAAAGAAGCGGTGCCCATGAGAAAAGGCCGTGAGTCCCTCCAGCTCCTCCTGACTAGCCTCTGCCCTGCATTTTCCTAGAAAAAGGTGCAGAAGGGACAGTAGACTGGAAAATTTGGCTTCCAGTAGGATTCCCTGGCTGCCTATTGTGGGCCCTCAAAAAAAAAAAAAAAAAGGTGTGAGTCTTCAGCATGATATTGAGGAAGAAGAGAAGAGAATTTTATAGGTTGTGGAGCTGCTCTTCAGAGCCGAAGAGGTTGTCTGGGTGGGTCTTTTTAGCTGCTGAGGGTGAGCATAAAGCTCCTTCATCCCAGCAGTGAGTTTGTTGAAAACTTTGTCACTAATGATTCCATTTCCTATCAAGAACAATCCACCCCTTGAGAGCTTTAGAAGAACTGAAGAGGACTAGGGTGAAAAATAGGGTGTTTTCAATCCCGATTTTTAAGATGAAAACCTTTCTCCCCATAATCAGGTGGGAAAAGCAAGAGTAGATAGAAGTCATTGTTAATTTTTAAGAAGCTGAGTATGTTGAATAGAGAGAGAGCGTTGCTTTGACCACCAGAGTCTGGCCCAGTCCCTTCCCCTGATTTCGTACATCCTGACCCTGAAATGGGGGAGAGTGCTTCTGTTTCTTCTGTGTTTATCTTGGGATAAGCAAATCTGTCCTGACGACTTTGTAGAGTGTTGAAATAGTTCAGTTGACCCACTTGGAAGATGAAGTCATAGGTGCAAGGAACTTGTGTTATCTCATTGACTGCCATGGTTAAGCTCCCTGGTCTGACCGGCCGGTATCTCTCTTGGGAAGTTAGTTAAGGATGGCATTCGACTACAGAAGCCAGACCTAAATCTCATCTTTGAAGTCTTCTAAAGATGTACCTGGACAAAGGACCAAAGCTAGCCGATGACCAGTGTTTATTACTAGTCTTAGAACCCCAGATGCCTGTACAGATCGTTCGGTAACCTGGGCTTGACTCTCAGAGAAATGCTTTTACCCTTGACAGAGGCAGCGGAGGCTAGAATCAAAGGAGATCAGAAAGCTTGTAAAAAGAGGAACCGATGCAAAATAGAGAGCAACAGGGAAATGTGTGTGTACAACAGACGGAGAAATGTGTTTTGTGTCTACCCATAGAAGCAAAGACTTGTCTAGAAAGAGCGTTGGCCTCAATTCTCGAGAGTCCCCACCCCAGGCATTCACAAGTCAGGCGACAGAAGCAGCGCGCAGAAGAAAACCATCCCACAAAGGATAGACCAAGAAGGAGACACCAAGCTCCTAGCACTGTGGGTTGATAAATACTACTGAGCTAAGTCAGAGCAGCCTTTCTGTCCTAAGGGATGACATGAATGGAAAAGGGGACTAGAGTTTTCTGTCCCTGAGAGCCAGCTGTCTCCATCCTCTCTGTTCTGTTACCTCCCTCCCTAAGCGGTGAGATCGGCCAAGGACAGACCCAGCCGCCCAGACACAGTACCCACCCCCTCACGGTAGGGCTGCCGAAAGGCTGACCCCGTTTCACAAGGAAGGAAATCTGCACACCTCCTCTGGGCAGCACGTTCCAAGCAGTTCTTCCTATAACCACCTAAAATTCTATTTTACCTTAAGCCCATTCTTACTTCATAGTTTAGAGAACAACCGGCTTGCATCCTTCTTTCAGACAAAAGAAGACCTTAAGCCATTTCTTAAGCCCCTTTCCTAGAACTAAAACCCCATTTCCTTTTAAAATGTCTATACGTGAAAAAATGTCCATACATATATGCATACACATGTATATCATACGTGTACATATATGTCTATACATAAGTAAACATTTTTTATTTTTTTAATTTTTTTTTAATGTTTTATTTCTAGGAGAGAGAGAGAGAGACAGCGTGAGCAGGGGAGGGTCAGAGAGAGAGGGAGTCACAGACTGAAGCAGGCTCCAGGCTCTGAGCTGGCAGTCAGCACAGAGCCCGACGCGGGGCCCGAACCCACGAACCGCGAGGTCAGGACCTAAGCGAAAGTCGGACGCTTAACCGACTAAGCCACCCAGGTGCCCCAAGTAAACATTTTTTAAAAGGGAATGGCATATGTACACCATATAAAAACATATGGATGGGGCGCCTGGAGGGCTCAGTTTGTTAAGCGTCCAACTTTGGCTCAGGTCACGATCTCATGGCTCATGAGTTTGAGCCCCGCATCAGGCTCTGCGCTGACAGCTCAGAGCCTGGAGCCTGCTTCGGATTCTGTGTCTCCCTCTCTCTCTGCCCCTCCCTGCCTCACACTCTGTCTCTCTCTCTCCTTCAAAATAAACATTTAAAAAATAAATAAAAAATAATAAAACATATAGATACACATATGGTGTTCATCAGTGTGCCTCCTCTCCAGTTTAGGGAACATACAGACAGAGTGCAAGCCACTACTAACCCTTAACCACTTTCTTTGCCCTCTGTCCCCAGACCAATTTCCTTTTAGGCTTTCTTCATAGGGCCTCCTTCCTCTTTCCCTGTTGTTATTTACAAACGGGCTATGAAGCAACCCCGATAGTATTGGGCAAAAGATCCAGGAAAGATGATGACTTAATGGAAAACTTTATTCGTCTAAGGTAGTCTTATTCAGCATTCTGTAAATGCATTCCAAGTACTCCAAATTCCTCTAATGTTTACACATTGTTTTCAGAGAGCACTGTCCCAAATTAGACATAGAAGAAGACATATTCAGTAGAATGGTCAATATCTATCTTCCTGATGACCAAAGGGGCAGGTGTCAGCTCTGTGTCTGGCACGTGATGCCAGCTGCAGCTGGACTTTTAGCTGGGACAGTCATCTGGTAGACTTCAACATGTCCTCTCCACGTCGCCTAGGCTTCCTCACAACATGGCGGCCAGCTCCCAAGAGTCCCAGGAGACAGAGCCTGGCTCTGTCATCTTTTCTAACCTAGCCTCGAAGATCGTGCAGTTTCACTCCCACAGCAACCTGTTAAGGAGTCATAAAGGCCCAGTCAGTTCAAGAGGATAGGAAGCAGACTCTAGCTCTTGATGGAAAAGAGGCAAGATTGGAAACACTCTTGCAGCCATTTTGGGAAATATAACCTTTTAAGACCAGTAGTAAATAAATTTAATTTTCACAAAACATAATGGCACCAAAATCATAAAATATGTACGGAAAAATTAATGAAAGATGTGCAAGACCTTGACATTGAAAACAAGAGACCCAAAGAGCAAAATCGAAGGACCTCCACTACCTGGTCCCACGTCTTATTGTAGTACTAATGCTGAGACAGTGTAGTGTAGACATGTGAATATAAACAGATCACTGAAACAGAA